CCCTGCCTCACATTACCACTCACAATCTTACGTTTTCATTTCTGATTTTTTTCTCTTAAGACTCGAGCAAAACAGAAATTGTGGGCAGTGAACTCTGTGTCACCAGCAGTTGGCATCCAACACGGGCCAACAGCCATCTTAGAGAGCAAACAACATCGTCAATTGGAGTCTAAAATCATTACTGTATTTAGAACTAAACAAAGCGAGTTAAAGTTGAGGGCAGCAGTCATTCCCAGCTGGCAACGATGCCTAAAATTATGCCATCATTCACTCCTCGTCCCGTTTTTTACGCCGCCCGCACTTCATGACATGTGTTAATGCCCCTGCTGCCGCCTTCCCCCACCACCTTCACTATTTATAAGCCAACACCTCCTGCCTTTCACCACGGACGACCTATTTTACTCTCACTACTCCTCTAATTCTCAATGTTCAGCGTGGCCGTGCTCGCACAGCCTGCCAGAAGAGCAGGTAAATAAGTGTTAATATGCGGTGCCGGCACTTGGAGGGCCATCTAATATGTGAGTGTTTGCCGCCCCGCCGCCTCCACCGCATGCCGGCAAATTAACGCGCGAAACAGACGACGTACGAGGCGCGCATCTGGGTCCTTTTTTATTTTTTCCCAACTGGTGTAAGATGCAGCTAAATCTACATGTGGTTAACAGGATGGTGAAGGAGTTATGGTTGTAAATTAGGCCGCACGTCACCGCCTGTGTAAGACTGGCCTCGTTAAACTGTAGATGATAAAACCAAATAGTAACCCTGATTCATGGCGCAACCCGGGAAAAAGTCGGGTAATTAATTGGCTGCTGTCTCTGGTGTTCACGTCTGCCGCCTCGACTCGGGTAATATATTCTGCCGTACATTACTTCCTTATATTATATATTGACGATGTCGACAACTATTACGATTTGTGTTGACATTTACAAAAAAGTTCTTGGCTGGGGGAGTTGTGTGTTGTGTCGTGTGGTGTTGTGTGGTGTTGTGTGGTGTTGTAAGGTGTTGTGAGGTGTTGTGTGGTGTTGTGAGGTGTTGTGTGGTGTTGTGTGGGGTTGTGAGGTGTTGTGTGGTGTTGTGTGGGGTTGTGTGGGGTTGTGAGGTGTTGTGAGGTGTTGCGAGGTGTTGTGTGGTGTTGTGAGATGTTGTGTGGTGTTGTGTGGTGTGGTGACATGATTATTAGTTTTGAAGGTGAGGCAGGTACATCATCCAGGTAATTGATACTGAGGGAAACCAGGTGGTGAAAATCTGACACAGTTAGGGTGGGGTGAGGGGGTGTGGGGGTGATGGGGGTGTGGGGGTGTGGGGTGCGGGTAGGGGTGTGGGTAGGGGTGTGAAGTAAGTGTAGGGGTGCGAGGGTAAAGGGGGCGTGGCTGAGGAGGTGTAGACACACATGTGCAAGCCACCCCCTCACAGCTGCTGCCGGCGGGTCTTCCTCACACTCACCACTTCAGGACAAGAAGCCTGCCAGGCCTTAACAGGAACTTCCTCAACAGCTCAAGTGTAGACGTGGGTACTGTGCCTGACCCCGCCGCCTCACACAGCTGGAGCCACTCAACTATCTCTCTCTTTCTCTCAGCTACGACACAACACAGTCACTCAGCTGGACTATGGCGTCGCGTACATTATGACAACACACCAAACGGCTCAAGATAATGAAGGAACACAGAGTACTGTACACTGATAAATATCTCCCCAAAACCTTATTTTTCATGTATTCTAACGTCCAAGGTATTTTAATGTTGCCACTGTAGGTAGGGAGGGGGCGGGGCATGTTTGGGTCTTTATGGGGGCAGCCGGGCAGAGTGTTGGGGCACAGCGGTGAGGCGGGAGGGAGGGCATGTTTGGAGTCTTTATGGGGCAGCCAGGCAGAGTGTTGGGGCTGTGAGGCAGGAGGGAGGGCATGTTTACATAGGGCAGCCAGGCAGAGTGTTGGGGCACAGCGGTGGGCGGAGGAGGGCATGTTTGGGTGTTTATGGGGGCAGCCAGGCAGTGTTGGGGCTTCGCGGTGAGGCAGGAGAGGGGGCATGTTTGGGTCTTTATGGGGGCAGCTGGGCAGTGTTGAGGCTTTGTGGGGGCGGAGGGAGGGCATGTTTGGGTCTTTGTGGGGCAGCCGGGCAGAGTGTTGGGGCACAGCGGTGAGGCGGGAGGGGGAGGGGCATGTTTGGGTCTTTATGGGGGCAGCCGGGCAGAGTGTTGGGGCACAGCGGGAGGGGGCGGGGAGGCTAGTAAGGGGTCACAGGTGTAACTAAAATCTTGTATGTAAAGAAAATAGAATAAACCTTACATACGGACACAGTTGTAAAAAGTACCAGACTTTGTCAGTATGAGTCGTGTTACATTGACAAAAATGTTACCCAAGTAGAAGTAAAAGTATCCAAAGTTCAATGTACTCAAGTAGACGTAAAAAGTATCTCATTCATAAAGTACTCAAGTACTGAAAGTAAAAAGTGACAAAAATTTATTAATCGTCTTAAATAATAAAATAAATCCACAGTAAATTAAAAAAAATCTAGTTACCTGAAGATAAAAAGAAAATACAAAGTATTACATATGTTTATTATGCAAATCTTTCTATTGAGATTAATCAATAACTGATTCTCGAAATTATGGCTCTCCAATGAGGATCTTTTAAGTCCAACATGACTAAACAGACGCTCACAAGCACCAGGTGTAGGTAGTAGGTTGTAAAGCTTGAGAGATAAGTCACATAATGTCAGGAAAGGCCTCAGTAGCTTCTTTCCATCCCCTGAGCATGCCAAGTAGCTATCAAGCTCCTCCAGTTGACGAGTTTGTGGATGACTGTTGCCTCCGTAGCACCGAATAAGGAAATGACAGAAAGGGCGTCATGGGCGCTTAAACTCCGTGTTCGTCGCTTGGGTAAATACTGTAGATGAAACGATATGAAAGAACACATGTGATTGGTCCAGATGTGAAGGAACGCTTGTGATTGGTTAGCTTCCAAGTTTGTCCTGTGATTGGATATTTAATGCTATTGTTTGGGGCATGTAACGATTAACGATTTTTTTTCAATTTTATTAGGGTAAAAGTATTAGAATCCATATTAAGTAAAAATAAAACTACCGTAAAATTTGAGAACTTTTAAAAAAAAGTAAATGCCCAAAAATATTACTTGAATACAGTACTCAAGTACATTTATTTAGTTACTTTCTAACTCTACATACTGACCACCACAATATCCCTCCCCTACACACACCCACCTGACGTCCGCGGTGAACTGGAAAACAAGCGTAACATCAGCGTTATGTCGTGACGCCGCAAGCGAGCACACGAGTGTTTTAGTTCTGCTTAAACCTGGCGTGACCACACTCAGGCTCGCACCCTGTAATACAGTCTTCTGCCCGCCCCCCCTCCGCCACTGCTGTGCTCTTATGACCGACGCGCGCGCTGCAGTTTGTTACTGTAACACTTCACTGAGCTCTGTAACAATTCACTGAGCTCTGTAACACTTCACTGTGCTCTGTAACACTTCACTGAGCTCTGTAGTACTTCACCGAGCTCTGTAACAATTCACTGAGCTCTGTAACACTTCACTGTGCTCTGTAACACTTCACTGAGCTCTGTAGCACTTCACCGAGCTCTGTAACAATTCACTGAGCTCTGTAACACTTCACTGTGCTCTGTAACACTTCACTGAGCTCTGTAACACTTCACCGAGCTCTGTAACACTTCAGTGAGCTCTATAACACTTCACCGAGCTCTGTAACACTTCACTGAGCTCTGTAACACTTCACTGAGTTCTGTAAATTAATTTCTACTGAGCTCTGTAACACTTCACCGAGATCTGTAACACTTCACTGAGCTCTATAGCACTTCATTGTGCTCTGTAACACTTCACTGTGCTCTGTAACACTTCACCGAGATCTGTAACACTTCACTGAGCTCTGTAACACTTCACCGAGCTCTGTAACACTTCAGTGAGCTCTATAACACTTCACCGAGCTCTGTAACACTTCACTGAGCTCTGTAACACTTCACTGAACTCTGTAGCACTTCATTGTGCTCTGTAACACTTCACTGAGCTCTGTAACAATTCACTGAGCTCTGTAACACTTCGCTGAACTCTGTAACACTTCACCGAGCTCTGTAACACTTCACTGAGCTCTATAACACTTCACTGAGCACTGTAACACTTCAACGAGCTCTGTAACACTTCACTGAGCTCTGTAACACTTCACTGAGCTCTGTAATACTTCACTGTGCTCTGTAACACTTCACTGTGCTCTGTAACACTTCACTGAGCTCTGTAACACTTCTCTCTGCTCTGTAGCACTTCTCTCTGCTCTGTAACACTTCACTCTGCTCTGAAGTGTGAAATAAATAAGGAAATAAAAACTGAACTGAATACAGAAACAATTTGGATGGAATTAATCGACGGTAGGGAAAAATAATCACAGGAGTAATATATAGACATCCCAATCTTGATAGAGTTAATGAGCGACTTATCTGGGATGAAATGCAAAGGGCAACCAGACATAGCTAAGTCTGTATAGTAGGGGACTTTACCTTTAGTCAAATAGATTGGATCGACCTTACGGGTAACTCGGAATCAGTGGATTTTCTTGAAACAGTTCAGGACTGTTTCCTAAGTCAACATATAACCGAACTCACCCGGGGTAATAATATACTAGATTTAGTTCTGAAAAACAGAAAACCCCATTAGTAATGTCGATGTAGGGAACGAACTAGATACGGCGATCTAAAAGACGTGAGATTCAAAGTAGAACTTAATGTCAGTTGCAAGGAATATTCCACTAAAGTCCCAGATTTCAGAAGGGAAAACTTTGATAGATTGAAAAAACAGCTGAGAGATAGGGTATCACGTTTGGGGATGGATTACATGACCTCACACAGTGTACCAACAGAGGGCGACCTCACTTTACCTGGAGACCTGACAACGGTAACCTCACAAAATATGACTGCTGAGGGCGACCTGACCACGAGATCTAAGCCGCCGTGAACAGTGTAACAGCCGCCGTCAACAGTGTAACAGCCGCTGTCAACAGTGTAACAGCCGCCGTCGACAGTGTAACAGCCGCTGTCAACAGTGTAACAGCCGCCGTCAACAGTGTAACAGCCGCCGTCAACAGTGTAACAGCCGCCGTCAACAGTGTAACAGCCGCTGTCAACAGTGTAACAGCCGCCGTCAACAGTGTAACAGCCGCGTCACAGTGTAACAGCCGCGTCAACAGTCTTAACAGCCGTCAACAGTGTAACAGCCGCCGTCAACAGTGTAACAGCCGCCGTCAACAGTGTAACAGCCGCGTCAACAGTGTAACAGCCGCCGTCGACAGTGTAACAACAGTGTAACAACAGCCACCGTCAACAGTGTAACAGCCGCCGTCAACAGTGTAACAGCCGCCGTCAACAGTGTAACAGCCGCCGTCAACAGTGTAACAGCCGCCGTCAACAGTGTAACAGGCCAACATAACAGCGCCGTCCACAGTGTAACAGTGTAACAGCCGCCGTCAACAGTGTAACAGCCGCCGTCAACAGGTGTAACAGCTGTCAACAGTAACAGCCGCCGTCAACAGTGTAACAGATACCGTCAACAGTGTAACAGCCGCCGTCAACAGTGTAACAGCCGCCGTCACCGTCAACAGTGTAACAGCCGCCGTCAACAGTGTAACAGCCGCCGTCAACAATATAACAGCTACCGTCAACAGTGTAACAGCCGCCGTCAACAGTGTAACAGCCGCCGTCACCAATATAACAGATACCGTCAACAGTGTAACAGCCGCCGTCAACAGTGTAACAGCCGCCGTCACCAATATAACAGATACCGTCAACAGTGTAACAGCCGCCGTCACCATGCAATTACCCAGATTGTTATAAGACCAATGAGGGTTATAACAACAGCCCCGCCAGCGGTTGTGTCTCCAAAAGTATGATGCAGTTTATGCGGCCAAAATCCATCACTTTGTAACACAACATAGTGTACAGTATCCCGGAAGATGACGTATTAAATGTTTGAGGTGTCCGGTGTACCCAAGACTCAACGTGGTGTTATAAGATAAACCTATGAGGCGGGCGGCCCCTTGTCTCACTTCCTCCACCATCATTCCCCTTGTTCACTCCTTATTATCCAATTGACCCGCCTGTATTGTAGTTGTTCCCTTGGCCACCATCCCTAGTGGCGCTGTTGGTCACTGCATGGCACTCCATAACATAAGAACATAAGAACATAAAAACGGAGGAAACTGCATCGGGCCTATTGGCCCATACTGGGCATTTACACCCAACCCCTATTGCTCATATAATCATCCAACCTATGTTTGAAGCTATCCAGCGCATTCGAGTTAATGATGATGTTTGGTAACTTGTTCCACTCATCCACTACTCTGTTTCCTAACCAATGTTTACCTATTTCGCGCCTAAATCTAAATTTGTCTAATTTAAAACCATTGTTACGAGTTCGTTCCTGGTTGGATAGTTTGAGTACCTTTGTAATGTCCCCTTTGTTTAGCCCTGACTTCCACTTATACACCTCTATCATGTCGCCCCTCGCTCTACGTCTCTCGAGGGAGTGCAAATTAAGATGCTTTAACCTGTCTCTGTACTCAAGGTTCCTAATGCCCGGTATTAGTCTTGTCATTCTCCTCTGGATTCTTTCCAAGGATTTTATATCCATTCTGTAGTACGGGGGCCAGAATTGAACTGCGTAATCCAGGTGAGGTCTCACAAGCGCAAGATACAGTTTTAAGATGACCTCGTTAGTCTTGTAACTAACACTCCTTTGTATGAGCCCAAGTACTTTATTAGCCTTGTTTCGAACAAATACACATTGTTTACTTGGCTTAAGATTCCTGCTAAACATTACTCCTAAATCTTTCTCGCAGTCGGATTTCTCAATAACATCGTTGTTCATCTGGTATCTGGTTTCCCTGTTTACATCTCCTATACTGAGTACTTTACATTTGTCCACATTGAATCTCATCTGCTATTTTTCAGACCATTCGAAAAATTTCTTTACATCTTCCTGTAGTTTTGCGGAGTCCTCGTCAGATTTAATTACACGTCCTATTTTAGTGTCATCAGCAAATTTACTTATGTTGCTGTCTATGCCGATATCTATGTCGTTTATGTATATAATAAATAATAATGGTCCAAGTACTGAGCCTTGGGGAACTCCACTAATGACGTTGTTCCAATGGGATTTAGTGCCGTTAATGCTCACTCACTGTTTCCTGTCCTGTAACCACGCCCAAATCCAATAAGACGAATCAGGCTCTCATTTGGCTTCACCACGTCTATTTGTTGTTATACATTGGGCATTATTACTTTCACCGTCAGCTCCTTCACCACCACCGTCAGCTCCCTCGCCACCACCTTCAGCTCCCTCGCCACCACCTTCAACTCTTACAGCCTCGGATAAAACCAAGTGATGTTTCACTTTTTTGTTGGATTCACCAGTTTAGGGGCGAGAGACGTAGAGTGAGGGGAGATATGAGCGAGGTGTATAAATGGAAGTCAGGGCTAAACAAAGGGAACATTACAAAGGTACTCAAACTATCAACCAGGAGCGAATTCGTAACAATGGTTTTAAATTAGACAAATTTAGATTTAGGCGGGAAATAGGTAAACATTGGTTTGGAAATAGAGTAGTGGATGAGTGGAACAAGTTACCAAACATCATCATTAACTCGAATACGCTGGATAGCTTCAAACATAGGTTGGGTGGATATATGAGCAATAGGGGTTGGGTGTAAACGGGACTGCCCAGTATGGGCCAATAGGCCCGCTGCAGTTTCCTTCATTCTTATGTTCTTATTGGCACCTGTTATATACTATACATTCATCTTAAGGAATTATTATGTAATATTTAGTATCACCTGGGTTACTGCACGTTACATGGTGTTGGTAAATACATTATAGAATGTTACAGATTTTATCATAATTCTCTTTTATTGTGTTCAATGACCTGGTAACAGATAAAGACATTTGTTTACAATTTACGTCCTGCTTTACACAGTGACCTGGTGGTGGTAGTAGAATTAGTGGTATAAAATGGTGACTTAACTATATCAAGAAGCACCACTCTAACGTCGGTGAAATAGCTCAGAATTTCCATCTTGTTTTTTTACTGTGCCTGAATGTGGTTACTTCTTCCCTGGAGGTGATAAAGAAGGTCACCTGGGGAAACACACCTTGTTGAGCACGTACACTGACGGGTGGGCAGGGGGGGGGGGATGACTCCTTACCTCACAGGAGCTAAATACAGTTCCTCCAGCTGCAACACGTCCAGCTTTACCGTGAAAGTTTTGGTCTTAATATTAATACAAAAGTGATATGTAGAATATATGTAGAATATAAATAGATGAATACATAAAAGAAAAGATGCAAATATCAAGACAATAATTTGAAAACGTAATTGGGTGAGGTATGAAACCCCACATTAAGTGAAGTTTATGGGAGGGTCCGCAGGGCTCCCACACTCACCACTCTTGCATAACAACAATACTTTGTCCCAATTTTGTTTCTTCTTCCAATTTCCTCTGCCTATACCAGGAAACTGGTTATATGTAATAATGTATAATTGATGAAGAAGGAATAGAAAGAGGCGAGAAGAGGATGGTGAGCAGGTGGTGTGGCAGACAGCTGACACTGTGTGGGAGCCGCAGGTTAACGAAGGTAGGCAGGTATCTTGCACACAGTCATAGGTTGTGGAAAAAGTTATGGCAGCGGGAGAACACCTTCCCAGTCATCCTCGCTATCTACAATAATCAGTTACCTTCTGTGATGTTAAGAGTTCACACTTAACACTTTATACCTATATATCAATAAGGCATCGCTGTCTAAACAAGAGCACGTTTATCACAGGACAAATACCACAGCTGTTGTCTGAGGCCACGAGCTGTCATCATTACTCGCGTTAACTCACCACCACCACAACATATGCATACATAACCACCACCACATATGTATACATAAATCACCACCACCACCGTAACATAAGTATTCATACATCACCACCACATATATCACCACCATGTAAGCATAGTGACAGTACTTACACATTGTATTCTACGGAATGTTTGCATGTTATTAAAAACACTAACGACTTGTAATAAATAGTGAAAAAAAAAGATTAGACTAAAGTTAATGTGTAGATGAGCTTAAACAACCTTGTCCACTATTAAATGATACCCTGAATACAATACAATACTCTATACACGACTGTTCGATTCAGTTACATATTGTGCCATACTCATATTTTGTAGCGAGTAATAAGGCGACAATTGAGGTGACAGCAATACCTGCCTTACACAACCTCTGTTTTCATCTTTTTAATCTCAAGTGGTCAATATTTTCACCCTGAGTCACGGCCGCCTACAACGGATAACGATTTTCATACTGAGGGCTTCTTTTGTGGGTCCTGGGGAAACTTTTTGTATGTCACCCTTAGCCTCCTATATCAGTGTGGAGGTTGTGTGTGGTGCATCAGTGTGGAGGTTGTGTGTGGTGCATCAGTGTGGAGGTTGTGTGTGGTGCATCAGTGTGGAGGTGTGTGTATGTGGTGCATCAGTGTGGAGGTTGTGTGTCTGTGGTGCATCAGTGTGGAGGTTGTGTGTGGTGCATCAGTGTGGAGGTTGTGTGTGGTGCATCAGTGTGGAGGTTGTGTGTAGTGCATCAGTGTGGAGGTTGTGTGTGGTGCATCAGGCTATGCTTACTTCCACAACATAATATCAGTGATAGATCGGCTACCATGTATTCTAACAGCAAATGATAGATTTTTTTTTTTTACCAGCTCAGTAATTCAGTGTTTCGTTCGTCGTGGTCACAACAGGAGCAGTGTACGTCGTGGCCCCCAACCCTCCCTGGCCACACCTGGGCAAGTAGCGTGAAAACAGGGTGTCGTTGTGTTATTAGCGTTTATAGCGTGTCGGGGGATCACCGGGCATTAGAGAGGAACCCGTATTATTACCCGTTAAACCACCCCGTCCTCACGCTGCCCTCCGACCCCACACCGCTAGCCGGCTTCATGGGGGGAAATTGGAACACTTGTGAAGGAAGAAGGATGACTATTATGAAGGAGGAGCTGACATGGTGTAAGGGAAGAACAGGAGTGGAGAGGTGTTACCACTATGAAGGGGGGAGTGGGAGAAGAACAATGTTAAAATCAGTGTTATTGTTCCTGGCTTGTTACAACGCCCGAGTGAATCACAATAAAACAGGTATCGTATCAACAACAATATGACAGTGACCCACAGATGGAGGACGACCAACACCCCGGGAAACACACGGTGACCAAATTGAAACACTCGGAAATAATTTGCTCTTTAGCCTGACTATTACTAGGTATGAGTGTGGCGGACACGTGTAGCGTTCCCCACTGTTTCATGGTCATCAGTGTTCGCCCCAAAAAGTATCTTGAGGATAATATTACTCAACTGACGAGGGATTTTGATACCTTACTGAAACAACGTGTGTCGAGGTGTTCATTTTGAGATCGATGGGACCCCTCCGTAAAGATACCTTTTGGGGTGAATTTTAAGTGTAAGTAATGGCTGACAGTCCACAGTCTACCGAGGTCATAATCATCTTGCTCCTGCTGCCTGGTCGTTATACACTGCAACGTTTATAGTTGGAGTGGAATTATTTAAAAAAATATAAAATTTTGCATACATACTCCTGAAGGCAACAGAAATAAAGATGAAAAGAGTTCCCCTCCGTCTAAGTGCATCATACCCCCCTCCCCTCACCCTTTGTGTTTACCTACACCCCCTCCCCCAAGGCGAGGATTACGACTACCATTTCGCAGTGTTGTGCTAAACGGTGCATCAAACGATAAAACTGCATATTGAAAAAATTCTGGAAATTAAATTTCAAACAAT